GACCAAATATCTAATTTTTTTTTCGGTTAGGGGACTATTTCCAAAAACGGTCCATTTACGGGACCAAATTGAAAACGGCCTGCAGATAATGGACCAAAAAACTTTTTTTTCCGCCTCAGACTGGACCGGTGCACTGGCTGGTTCTGGTTGAACTGGTCAAACCGGCCGGTCCGGTCCTACTTTCAAAACAATGACAAATAGTGTACTCTTTTCTTTTTTTTTTTCATTAGGATTTATCCTTGGATTATTCCTAATGAGGTTTTAACGAGATATAACCATGACATAATGAGGAATAAGTGAAAATTTGATATGGTTCCTCATAACGATAATAAGACAATGGAGTGTTCGTACTCTTTCTCCATCTAAAGACCACATGCTATGTTTCATGATCAGAAGTTTTTATCTTAATTGATATTTTTATTCAACTAGTGCAGATATATTTATAAATAGTCACATTATACGGTAGGTCCACTTATCGAATTTTTTTCAATGTGTGAATGGCTATTTTGCTTTGATATAATTGTATAGTTACAATTTTGCCATTAAATTTTTTCTATAAACAGGACTTTGAATTTTAGTGAAAATTATATCAAGATAATACATTCTTTCTACTCTCATTCGCTACAGTTTTGTAACATAAGACAAATAACAAAAAGGGTGGAGAAGTTTCTGGGGTGACTTAGTAATTGATATGGAGTATGTGGGTCAATATTGCAATTTCATGAGAATCTAATTTCATCACTATATTACTTAGGCTTATCAAAGTGGGCCTGAGCCCGTGGGCTGCCCCCACCTAATAGGTGGGTTGGGCTGCTATTTTTGTAGGCTTGGTCCCAGTGAGCAGTGGTTTTTACAAGGCCAATTTACATGGAATTGCAAGGCTGATTTTAAGAGAATTGCAGACATACATAAATGAAAACATATTTGCAACTTTACCTAACTTAACGTAATTATTTAAATAACTACTATATATTTGAAACGATCAAACAAAATTAAGAATCCTGTAACTGACGAGATTATTTCATTAATAAAAAAAATTGTATTCCATGTTAAACTAATCAGATAATCAGGAGCAATGTCGTCTAAAGCGTGAGCAACGTTCACGTGCATTGTCGGCCGCCCTCCTGTAACAAATTTTAGTGGTCACCAATCGCGAACCACCATGTTAGGAGGAAGAGACACGTAGGTTGTACTTCATTTTTGCCGTCGGGCATGGAAGAGTGATGTTGGTAGATGGATGTTGCAGAGGTTGCCATTGGGTTGTAATCAGTCTGATCGTAAATTCCTAGAGTTGCGGTCGTGGATTGCTTGCCCTTCTTGAAGCCGACGAGATTGGCGGATGCGAGAAGAGGGGGAAAGGGATGACAATGATGTTTGAGTAGAAATTGGATACGGCGGGGTTGAATCGTCAGAGAAGATGATGACGATGAGAAGAGAAGAGAGAGGACCGATAAATTTCAGTGGCCAATATTTTTCGTATATGTTCTGTTTATACTCAGTATATTTTCAGTATATGTTGCGAAATTATTTACATAACATTATCTGACCAGAATTTTGATGTTTGGATTTTATTTATATTTTTTGTTTATGTTTTAATTAAATAAATGATTCCTTTTTGCAAGCTGGGCCAGATGGGCCGAGGGTCAGCCCGTCATTAAAACAACGATTTTATTACATAAGCAAACACGACTTCTCTACTCCAGCACAGTCACGCTTTTCCTATCGTTTTCACAAAATCTTTGGCCTGTAAGACCTAAGCCCTAATCTCTCGACTCTCAAGCGACGGTGTGCGGCGAGCCAGCGACACAGAGAGTGACTCCGAGCGGCAACGGTGAGGCAGCTTCCATTCCGGTAATAATGGCTGGACCTGAACATCTTATTGATTAATTTTGGTTTATAATTTCTGATAGTTTGATTTTGAACTCTGAACTCTGATTTTTGAACTCTCAAGTTAGTGGTTGGTGGACTTGTTGATGCTTGATGGATGATTGAATGTGTATTGTGCATGTTACAAATTGCTCCCAGTTTTTGTGCCCACAATTTTGCCAATTTTTTTCCCGTTTTTGCTGCTTGTGCCCGTGCCCAGTTTTTATTTTGCTCCCAGTTTCTTTTTTTTTTCTTAATATGCGGCGGCCCGGCCCGCCTATCCCGCGGCCCGATGCGGGGTTGGGCCAGGCTGCCCTTTCACAGGCCCGTCGAGATGGCAGGCCGGCCCGCACCCGTCAAAGGGCGGGCCCTATCGGCCCGTTTTGATCTGTCTAAATAATTGCAGAACCAAAATCACCGAACTCGATCTTTTCCTCATAACTCTGGCGAGAAGCGACTCGGGGAAGAAGAGGGAAACTACAAGTAGAACCAAAATCATGCTCTGAATTCCTCAAAATTTTGAGTATTACCCTAACTATGTTTTTTGTTCAGGTCTATTTAGAAGTTGCAAGATATGTCCGCCGAAGAAGAGGAAAACGCCGCTGAGCTCAAAATCCCTGATGGTATGTATGGGTGTTTTTGTGTTTATGTGTACATCTCACTTTTTATATGCAAAAATTGGTATTCGTGCTGATTATTGATTGGGTTGAAAAAGAGTCTTCTTTTTTTCTTTTGCTAGAATTTGTGTGCGACCCGAGTGTTTCTGAGTTTATTGACACACAAGTCTGAATTGGGATAATTGAATGAATTTTGGTTTAAGCAGTCATGTTTTTCACTCTTTTCATTATTAATATGTTTGCAAATGCCGATTTTGTCAATATTATATCAGATAAAAGGATAAATTTATCTGAATTTTGGGGGTTTTATGTGTGGTGGGGGTATCTACCTGTGTTAAAGTTATTTAAAGTTCTCTTATTTTATCATTCCCATATTTGTAAATGTAGTTCTTGTTCAGTGATGACTTTTTTTCTTTGTATGTAGCTATTTCACAACCAAAATCCTCCCCACTAAATTTACCCCTTTTAGGGTTACTCATGGGCATATTGTATGTGTTGTTCTTGGTGAATATTGAATCATTCATGTGTTTGTTGAATTATTACATTATCCTATGGCGAAAAAATATAGAGGAAAAAACTGTATTCATTTCCAGGTTTGATCTTCAACTCGATATCATATTTCATTGGATTTTGTTTGTCATCCTAATATTGGCTTTTGTTATGAGTTGCGAGCTTAGGCGTGTTCACCATTTTTTTTATTTTTCCAGAATTTCTCAAAGCCAAGTGTCTAATGAACTCGGAAGTTGCCCTAATTCTTGAGCACAAGTACGATCAGCTTCAGCATACGATGGATGATCCGTTGAATCAAATGTCACAGTAAGTAAACTTTCATGGTTCCTTTCCCATTCATGTGATATATAATGTATATTAATTTGTGATCCTGACTACTTTAGACTTGTGGAGGATTTTTTTTTTTTTTTTTTTTTTTTTTTTTTTTTTTTTTTTTTTTTTTTTTTTTTTTTAATATCTTGCTAATGAAAGTCCAAGAACTAATTACATGGAGAAGGAGATGTGAATGTTTCTTCCTTAGATTTGGAATGTGACGCCGAAGGAACATATAAACAACTAAAATTTTTATCCATTCCATCCATTCTGGCAAGATTATGATTATGATTATATTTCCCGAAAAGTTTTATTTTTATATTTTTATGTTTTTCCAGGGTTTTTGAGAAGTCTCTCCAATATGTGAAGCGATTCAGCCGATATAAGAATAATGACGCTGTCAGACAAGTTCGAGAGTATCCTTTTCTTTGTTATGCAAAAATGACTGTAATTTGCATCAAGTGTAATATATAACATATATAATCAACATTACTCAACAATATGATTTTCTTTGAGACTGTTGATCATAAAGGAATTATTATTTTCTTCATGAGCCTACATAGCAGCAAGACAGTTTTCCATGAATATTTTCTCGCTAAGGAACCCAAACAGGAAATAGCAGATGAATAAACTAATAAATAAAATCTGGACCAGCTGAAAAGTGTAAATTGGTGCATTTCCTGCTGTCATACTATCAATTGGCTGTAGTTTATTGCATAAGATGGTGCAAACCTTGACTCGAGTTTAGAATTCTGAGTAGATATCAGCTGGCTGAATTTGAGGTAATTGTTTGTAGCACTCATTTTGTATATTGATGAAATTTCTGGAAGTATCCTCTCTTATCTTCACAAAAATTGCACAATTTGCAGCTCTGTGTGCTCGGGAACCTTTGTCCAGAAACTGTTGAGGAAGCCATAGCCATGGTCCCATCCATCAAGGTACTTTTTTTTTTTTTTTTTTTTTTTTTTTTTTTTTTTTT